TAGCTAGTTTATTATGTTTAAGCTGTGAAGTAACAATCACGCCCCAAGAAGAAAATATAAAGCTAGTTTTACCTAAAGAAGTAGCACAAGAAATTAAAAATTTATCTGCTAAAAAGATACCAGGATATGCCCTTATCACTGGAGAAATACTAAAACAATTGCCAAAAAAGGGCATAGTTAAACTAACATTACATATTTAATGCTGCAATCAGACTGAAAAATGTCCCCAGCATCTGGAAATTCGCAGAAGTCATTATGATAAAAAAACAGGAAAAACGGCGAACGTGGTCAAACCGTATAGACAAATATCGCTGCTACCGACAGTGTGTGAACTCTTCGAAAAAATATTATTAAAACGAATAAAACCCACTGTAGAAAAAAAAGAAAATCATTCCTGACCACCAATTTGGATTGCGAACAAGACATTCAACAATAGACCAAATTCACCGAGTAACGGACGTAATAGAAAAATCTAAGAAGACCAAATTTGTCCCCTGCTATCTTCCATGATGTCTCACAAGCTTTTGACAAGATCTGACATGATGGATCAATAAACTAAAAGGTATGCTACCAAAGCAGTAGGTCGATATTATCAGTTCCTACTTAACTGACAGACTGTTTAGAGTCAAACAAGAAGATCAATATTCAAAATTAAAAACAATAAATGCAGGAGTGCCACAAGGAAGCAAATTAGGTCCACTGCTTTACTTGTTATACACCAGTGATTTTCCAAAAATAGATGGAGTAAAAATTGCAGATGACACAGCGGTGATATTCTAGGACCGACTATCACCCGTTCAACCAAAATCCTCCAAAATAATAGTAAGAAAGTAAAATTGTAATAAGATAAACGAATGGACAAAAAAATAGAAAATCAAGCTAAATCACCATAAATCAGTTCATTTAATCATTATAAACAAAAACGTGGACCATGTTCCGTCGCTCATAATCGATATAACCATATAGCGATACAGCTAAATATCTGAGAATGACCTTAGATGTCAAGCTGTGATGGAAAGAACACGTGAAGAAAAAAATGACAGAAATAGGTTTAAGGTTTAGACAACTATACTAGTTGATAGGACGTGGCTCCAACCTTGCAATACAAAATAAAATATTGTTATATAAACAAGTCATAAAGCCTATGTGGACATAAGGTATTCAACTATGGGGTTGTACCAAACACAGCAATATCAAAATCATACAAACACTCCAAAACAAAATCTTACCTAACATGGTCAATGCACCTTGGTACATAAGGAATAAGGACTTACATAGGGATCTTAAGATCCCTGAAGTTACGGTGGAAATACAAAATTTGCCGCCAAACACCAGGCTCGCCGCAGCCAGCACGAGAATGTGGAAGCGACCAAACTCTTAAATAACCGAAACATGGTCAGAAGATTAAAAAAACAAAGCCAAAAATAACAAGTGAATAGTGAAATGTAAATCTTATTGTACCAATGGGTTTATAAGAATGTAAACATTTATTTATTTTATAATATTATTGTAAAATTAATGTTTGGTAAAATAAGACCAGTTTTCATAAATAAATTTAATTAATTAAAATTTAAGCTTTAAATTACATTAAATTATTTTAGTATTATAACAGGGAAATAATTTAGTTAAATTGAAAATACCATTAGGATATGTCAAAAAAACTGCAGGGCAACATTTAAATGAGTTCAATCTCATTATTTCAACAACGGATTTATCTTCAGGAAAAACAGTTCATCACATCCACTGTCAATACAAAAGTCACATTAAGTTTCGTGAACAACGTGCTTTAGTCAGTAAGAATTATCAAGCGAAAAAGCTGGTGATGCAGTGATAAATTATTGAATAAAAAACCTTCGTGCCGACCAAAAGCCGTTCGCATCGTGGCTCTAATTAAATCAAAACACTGCGCTAACCCAATTATATGTGCGTTCCATAAAACAGGAATAACCTGCTTCAAAGTTGGTGCATGTCCCTATAACAGAAGGCCGGGTATAAAAATGAAATTCTAATTAAATAAATTATAGAGGTGGAGTGTGAAAAGGGACGGTCCCCAACATATTCAGGCGGGCATTCTCGGGTTACGACTCTTTTGTGCAACATAAAAGTGTCAGGGAGAAGAGGTGAAACGCATTTCAACCCTTTTAAAAAGCCTTTTCCTTTCCTAATGTGAGCCGGGCCTTGCCGTCAAAAAGAAATTCACGTTTAACGGTATTCCGAATAGTCTCGCTGAGTAGTTATATGTATCATGCTTTCTATTTAATTAAACACTTCATTAGAAATCCGAGTGGAATATGTATACAGAATATTCGACGAAAAGCAGCTATGGTTTTTTTCGTTACTAAAGGAAATGTAAATAGGTGAGAAATACAAAAGTTATGGAAAACAACATCTTTCCCTAACAACCTCAATTTAACAAAGCTTTTACATAAATATCTTCTGTGTTGCAGCAAGTTCTTTTCTGTAATTATTTCTTTTGTATTACACTTACCTGTTTTCATGAAAATAACCATTAATCTTCCGGAATAATTGTCAAAAGTTTCTTTTTGTTCTGTTTACGAAAAAAGTGATTTATGATTCTTCGTATAAATCGTTAAAAGGTGAAAATTAATTATGTTTTTTATATTTTTGACAGTTTTGACCAGAATATATTAAGTTTTTGGTTTTTGTAAAGTACATACACTCCCTAATTATTAGGACTATTCTTGAAATTTTATCCGAAATTTAACATTTCGTCTGTCGGCTTTTTGTTACCTTATGTGTTTGTGTGATTTCAGTGAAGTCAGGTTTGCGGTATAATGTGGCGATAGGTTTGGTGCATGCATTTTTCAATGCGTTGTGTGGATTAAGTTTTGCGTTTGTACTTGTTAAATTGTTGTCTTTGCACGTACATAGGATGATACAAAAAAATTTTAAAACCAGTCAAAGACAAAAGTTAATTAGTATAAAAGATACAACAAGGAATTGAAAGTGGAAGAAGATAAAAAGACCAAAGCAAATAAATGACAAACTGAACAAAACTAATGTAAAGATCAGGGAAATTGACCGTTAAAAAATGTTAAACTAAAAAATGTAATAATAAACAAGATTAAAATTACCCAAAACCAGCTGACTACTCTTCTGATAAGGAAAAAATTGAATTATAAATATATAGCAAATTTAATAAAAACCATTGAAAGGTGAAACGCGTTTGACAAACCAACCGGGAGAAATATGAAAATACCTCAAATTCGCATTCAAAAATTATTATCATATGACCAAAAACGTACTTTATGAATGCAAAAATTCTAACCAATTTTGATGATGACAATTAGACTATTTCTGGCTAGTAATAATTTATTTTTCTAAAATTTGAAAATATAATTTTATATTGTAAAAACACTAATATATGTGATTGTGTCCTGGTATTTTAATTGAGCAAGTTTTATTGTCGTTGATAATTTTTACCACTCATCAATTTATCTTTTTTTTTTTTTTTTTTGCTTTCAACAATTTACACAAATCAGATAAAACATTTCTCTTAACTACTTATTTCTACCCAGAATTTTAATTGTTGTCTTATTTATTTAAATACGAAAACATTTGTAGATGTTTGTTATTTTACTATTGACATTATGGTTCATTAATTGGAGTTTTTACATTTATACATAATTAATAATAATATTGAAAATTGAAATAGTCACACTTAGATGTAAAAATAAATAAAAAATAAACTTATTAAATCGGTAAATTGGTTTCATTTTCATGTAATTAAACATTTGAAATATTTTTCTCTGCCCCATTGACATGTATTAATCATTGATGATTTACTAAAGGTAATGAATAATTTAATTTTATCTGAATTCGGAGATGTAATAAAGTTTTAAAATACTCAGTATTTCAACTTTGAAATTTGACGTAAAAACAATTGTTGAGACCGACCCAACGAACATTCAAATGCACTTAGCAAGCAAACCCGTTGACAAATAAAAGTTAGTTCGTTAGGATGAGTGTGTAAAAAATAATTATTTTCCAGTGGGTACAATTGACATCTTGACATGAGAATGTTTTAATCATTGATCTGCATAAAAATTAACATAATAATACTGCAATTCGACCGGAACTAAACATATTTTGTATGGACGTTTTTCACTTTAAAACTTCAAACTGCGAGATTATGTACATTTTGACAACAGTTAGATCAAAAATGATGGGTAATGGTTAAAATTGTAGGCAAATGCTTGTTGTACATAAACCAAGATCATAAAATAACGCTGTGGTGTTCTATTTAAACATGTAATACATGTGCTACTCAGTTCAATAGCATAAATGTAAATTAATTATTAACTAATGCAATAATAGATTTTGCTATTTAAAAGATGTACTCTGGGTTTCAATTTCACTTGTTGTATTGCATTAATATTTATTGAATTAAGTCATTTTTTATTTCAGATTTTATATTAAACAAAACGTTATTAATAATTTAAATTATATCTACAGTAATCTTGGGCATTAATTATAAATAAAATAGAAAAACTTTATGGGACCCAATTTGACAATTATAGTTAATTTGTTGAGTGAATGAAATAATTGCTTCTGTTTAAATTGCGTTTGTTTAAACTAGAAAAATATTGTTATAGTAAATCTTACCTTGTGTGTGTGTGTCGTGAAATTCTTGTGTAAAAACAATTGTGTTACTAAAAACAAGACAGCAGCGCAAAACACTGAAAAATACACAAAACATGAGAACTAGTAAGAACAAGAGTAAGATTCTAAATTTTTATCTTTAAACACTACATAGCAATACGTCGATTATTTCATAACATACGAAAATTCACAATTGTATTATAATTAATCATCGCTACATGCCTGATAACTATCACTAACTGTTTGTGAGTAGAACATGTATTACAATGATTTAATTGTTATACTTACTTCTTATAAACATTTTTTATAAATGCAATATATTCGTCAATATATTAACGAGTAAGATATAAGACTAAAGATTCTCCATATTTTTCTAGGATTTCTACAAGAAATTTACGATCTTTCTACAAGAAATCCTTCAACCTGATGATGAGCTAAGGGCTCGAAATCCGGACGTTACAAAACAACTTAATGTGAGTAAGAACTCTTTTTTAAAAAAGGATAAGTTTGATTGCAATGTCTTACATAATTTGTACACATAATAGCTATTTTGTTATGTTGTAGTTAAAATAAAAAATTTACATGAATTTTTATTAATTAAATTTAGAAAAACATATGTTAATTGTGAATAGTAGAGTTCCTGTGACTGTTAGGAGCGTAACGTACTTGAATGCAGCATAAGTTTCAATGATTGATATCAAATTCAATGAATTAAAAATATTGACAGCTATCAAATTACAAAACGTAATGAAACAGGATAAGCGATTGAGAAGTGTTGACGGTACGTCAACGGGAAATGTAATCTTTATAATTGAATCATAGCAAAACATTGTATAATAAGAGACGATTTTTATAATCAGAAGAGCTAATGTCACAATTTGAATGATTTAGTGTAATCAGATTTGTCAAACAGCGGTTTTATTAGCCGGCTATCAAAATGTACCAGTTGTACATTAATGTATACGGCCTGTCACATTTTCAGCAAACGAGGCGACGAAGATTATTACTATAAAGTCAGTGCATTATCAATAGTATCCAGACATACCAACGGTTAAATATATCATTTAAAAAATATAATAAACTGCACAAAAATTCCCATCATGAATAGTACAAAACTATTCGTAGCCTGTACCATAGTTTGTTAAACGTCACCATCTACATATTAATTTTTATTGAATGTATTTATTGTAGGAAGTAGGCCCTGTTATTGGTTTTGTTCATATTAATATTAGAATATTTTTCCGGAAGTAGAACATTACAACATATTCACTATTTTTGACACGTTTGACCAATTAATATCATACAATTAATTAAGGTTTTTAGTTGAGATAAAAAAGTCAGTGTCACGAGCGGGATTCGAACTCACGACCTTTGCCTTGATACGCCGCTTCTCTGCCACTTGCGCTATGCTGACTTCGATCCTTTCGTTCACTAACTTCCCATTCTGAAATTCAAAGGGTGGGATTGAGATAGGAAGTTAGTGCCCGAGAGGATCTTAGTCACGATAGCTCAAGTGGTAGAGTAGCGGCGTATCAAACCGAAGGTCGTGAGTTCGAATCCTGCTCGTGACACTGGCTTTTTTATCTCAACTAAAAACCTTAATTAATTGAATTACAATATATATTACAATTAAGGGCCAGGAAGCATTTTGTTCCAAATACTTATATGAAAAACAATCCTCCGTTCGATTTTCTTTAATCTTATGAGAACAGTCAACCCAATCTGTGTTTAGAGAAAGGATCTGATTTTTAATTAATATTACTAATTTATTAGAGACTAATTTATATGCACCTCATTGGTGGTAACAAATGACCTAACACATAACAGTGGATAATAATTGATAAATTTTAGTTTTCTTAGTTTACTCGAGTTTATTAGCAAGGGGAAATGGAGAACACTTAGAGATCAAATCAAGATGAATTGAAATGGCAAGACTCCACAAATTTTTATATTGAATTACACAGAAAGATTAAAAAATAAATGTGTAAAGAAAAAAAATACATTAAAAAACAAAAACAGAATTTTTGTATTTATTTGTTTATTTTAACACTTTAATAACTTGTTGTTTATTTTTATAGAATTATTCAGAAATCGTGAGATGCGGTCTGGTGTGATGTAGGTTTCAGAAAAACATTTCTTTTAACGTGCCAACGTTTCGATCTTTATTGAGATCATCTTCAGGGCTCAATAAAGATCGAAACGTTGGCACGATAAAAAAAATGTTTTTCTGAATATAATGTTAGTTATCAAATTATTAGTTGTTATTATTATCAATAATTAGATTTATCAATAAATTCGAATTTATAAAAATTCTTAAAAGCATGGTTTTAAGTCGAAAGTTAACTTGGGCATCGACGGACAAAGCCCAAGTGCAGGGTGAGCCTCGCTCTACCACACACGATAGTCTACAACGGTTTAAGGCTAGTCTCCATCGATTGGAAGGAAGTGGTCAACCATGATTTCGACGGTTAGAGACGATCGATTTTTTGTTCTTATCGCACAACGAAACCCTCATTCAACGGCTTCCAGGGCAGGTTGTCAACTCCAAATGGATCATAATGTAAGGGAGAGTTGTAAAAGAGCCATCCGAAGGCTTCGTGAGAAAACCTAGATTTTAAATATCCCACATCAGGTTCTCTACTACTGGAGAGGCATCGAGTGAAAAGGAGACTATTCGCTAAACCAGCATCTCGCTTTAACGTTAGAATCGAAGCTGTTCTCTTCACAGATCAGACGGAGAACGCTTTCCTTTATATGCCATGCGGCAGTCAGTTATGGTATGGGGAGGAATCACCGACCCTGCCTGAAATTATTATCGTACAGAAGTGAGAAATATACTTTGGCTGCACAAAGGCAGAGGGAGCAACATTAGTAAAAGTTCTGCTGGAAGCTATGGCCCCATTCGTGTCAATTAGTGGGGGCAACTTCGTGGTAATACATGGTAATACTCGACCCTAAGAATTATCGATATAAGATAAAAGATAAATTAAAAACTTTCAATTAATTAAAGTTTTTAGTTGAGACAAAAAAATTAGTGTTAGGAGCGGGATTCGAACCCACGACCTTCCACCACGATAGATACGCCGCTACTCTAACACTTGAGCTATCCTGACTTCAATCCTCTCGGACACAAACTTCCCATCTCAACCCCACCATTCGAATTTGAGATGGGAAGTTGGCTTCCGAGAGGATCGAAGTCACTATATCTCAAGTGGTAAAGTAGCGGCGTATCTAGCCGAAGGTCGTAGGTTCGAATCCCGCTCGTGACACTGACTTTTTTTTATCTCAATTAAAAACCTTAATTAATTGAAAGATATCCATTGGTCAAGCGGACCACAAAAACTAGTGAAGTTAATAAATTAAAATTATATCACTGAAAGAAACTAAAACCCTGAATAATTTCAGCGATTTTTGCGGCTCAACTATTATGTAAACCGTCAAGACAGGCCGATCTTGAGCAAATAACGAATTGTACGCCGTGATATATTTGGAGAATTATTATATGGAGAATCAATATAAGTTTTATACCATCAACTACAATAAAGAGGCTCAGTAGGTCAAAAAGAATCAGAAGGTGCCAATAAAACGACAAAGAAAACACCTCCCGATTGAGTCAACTTATCCGATATATGTTTCCTGATGGAAGGAGGGTGCAAAAAAAAAGAGTAAAGAAAAATAGATACCCGACGGGACTGGTGGACAATGGGTGAATCTCGTTACGATTCCGGCACTGTCTTTCCCAGAGAAACTTGAGCCGTCCTCAAGAGTATACCAATAAAAAAAGGGGCCAAAGTTTTCTATGACATCAGAGTTTGGCCAAGTGTTGATTATCTGCTCCCCCTTAGTCTAGCACCCTCGTTTTAGCCACTTTAGCCGCCTCCCGGTGAACAAGACCATTTCCTGATTAGCTTCCGTCCGTTTACCCTCTTCCTTATTCCTTGTTCCTTGCCAATATCAGTGATATTTCTCTTAAAATTTGTTCTTTGCGAAAAAATACAGAAGAATTAGATAAAACATCATTTATGATGTACGAATTTCAATTACCGTGAATAGAAGAAGTTTGAATTTGAAGTGTATTAATGGTAATTTTAGAGGGTTGCTAAAACGCCCCTTTCAGACTGCTTTATCTTCCATTAACTACTAGTATTTCTAGAAGTACTGGGAAAATAATTTCATTATTTGACATTGTAATCTTTGTATTCCTTCCACAGTTCTTTGTAGGAGTCAAAACACGTTTGCCTGCGGAGAAGTTTTGACACAATATGACATAAAGCTTATTGAGTTTTCTCGCCTTATTTTCACACACTGTCTAACGTAAAATGGCACTGAGGTAAATAAAGGGTTTAAGGACAATTTCATTCGAAGTCTCAAGCATACTATCGAGCTTTCTGTCCGTCGGCATATACAACAAGAAGAAGTAGACTAAATTAAAATAGTAAAACCATCAACCACGCAACTGAAGTAGACTTGCTAATGGACTTTTATACTAAATAATGGCCGCATGTTGCAATATTTACAGATAATGTTAACAAAATTATGTAATCTCCGAAGATGATATTCATATTTTCAGATGGCAGTAAAATAAACGGCCATGTTGGTTGTGCATTTGTTCCTACGAAGGCTTAATGAAAATTCATGAGGAAAAGAACACGTTGGAAAACTGGTGTTCAAAGAACCAGCCTGAACTGCTGGCTATGTCGAAAGCCTTAACCTGGACAGAAGACAATAACCAAAAATTGGGCAGAAGAACAGTCACAGTTTGCACAGACAGTCAATTTCCTTTCTTTTTCTTTTTTTTTTTAATCCAATACCAACGAAACCATTTACCGACGGTTGAAAAAAATAAATCAAGCTAATAGCCTCAGTCTATATGTATATATAGATAAAACGGAGAAAAGTTCTTTATAGACACACCGGTGATAAAGAAGCTGATGCCTTAATTAAAGAAGCGGCTTTCAGTTCAGAAGAAACAACGTGCCACCAACTACCCTTTAATTACCTACAAGCTAAGACAAGAGATGATAGCTTGAAACTATGGGAAAACGAATGGGCTGCAGAAACTAAAGGTAAGCACACCATAATGTTCTTTCCTGTGGTAGCAAATCGAATGAAATGTGAGTTCAAGCTAAATTACAAAGCCACTCAAGTACGTACAACTTACGAGCTTAACTCTATCGATTCCACATTATAGACGACCCTACATGTCCAACCAGCTGAACAAACATGGGATGGTGGGAACATTGGGAGTTAACAAATGTTCGTTATTTGAGAAACAGAGATCACCATTTGAACGAGACGTCATGGGACTTTCTCATGAGCAATTCGAAATATATTTTCCTCGACTCTATTGATTTTAACTTAATGTGACACATATAGTGTACATAATAACCAATAAACTGCCCATTGGTTTTTAGTTCTCCGCTATGAAAACCTGTTAAGACTTTGTGCTTGTTTTCGTTCCCTTCGATATATTATTAAGTCATTTCCTTTCACATCTTGGTAAGAGGTTTTTTGGATTGCTCGT